AAAGAGCCAATAGACTTCCACAGACAAGGTCCGATGTTCAGCCGGGTTGTGGGTCAAGCGCAATAAGGTAGGTACCAGGAGAATTTGCGAGGTGTTTTTACTTAGTAAGAGTCTGAAACTCCCTCTCATCTCATCCTGAGCAAGAGAAGCCATTCGATGACTTTTCCTTTCTCTCTCACAAAAAAACCCGCAACACCGCCTTGAGGTGTGAGGCTGCGGGAGAACATACCTGCTTCCCGCAACCGTGTGCCAGTTTCAGTAAGTCTGAAAAAATTCTTTCATTTTTCAACACGGGGCAAAATAAAAGTTGGTGATATCGCATGTTTGATAAAAGAGGGTATTTCAAAATTGAACCTTATCATTGAAGAGAGATTTATTTAGATTAAAATACCTATAGGTACCTTCTTTTTTGAGTAAGGCCTCTTGTCTATTTAGCATACGATATGTGTGTCTTAAGTATAAATATTTAGGAAGATCTAACTCTAACTTCTATCTATTCTACGTGAAAAGGAAACTACAGCGTAGGTATAGAAACAAATTACCTACTGCTTATTTATCAGGGGCTGGGCAGCTCTGCTCTTTGAACTTTTTAATCTGTGATGAGAAACCAGGCTGCCAAGTGTGAAGGTTTTGAAAAACCACTTAGGTATGTATAGGACAGTACTCATAGTCCTGCAGTGAAACACTACCGAGACAGTTAGTTCCTTAACATACACCAGATATTCTCGCGCGGTATCACCCACTGCTCTGTTCCTTGAGATCGAAGCGACATGTTTTATAGCCTATAGCGTACCTCGATAAACGGAAACTAAGAAACAAAAAAAGAATTGTTCAATTTGAACCAGAAGTAGTTCCGCAGATAAGCGCGTTCAAACAAACAAACAATCTCTTCAGCTTTATACATATATTATATTTTATCGATTAATAATGTTGAATGTCACTTATCATTAATATTTCTTGTTTGAAAACCAGCAAATAAGGCCTAGATTGTGAGGAGTAGTACTAGAGAGTGTGAGATTCCAGTGGCCACCATTAGCACCTGCTTATTGAATAGGCCTATCTCTAACTTTGGATCCAACGGCATATTCCAAGGTTTTTATGTTGCGCAACTAGTTCAGGAAAATGCTGGATGGGAAATTTAGCTAAGTATATTTCAATCTACGCTAAGGGCTGATAGTTTTTGTGATAGGACGGCAAACGGGCTAACGTATAATCTGATGGTAAGCAATCAGCGCAGCTCATGGAGACCCGTAACAACGGAGGACTTACAAATTCATCCCCGACGTTTTGGAAATTTGGGGATTGGCGAGGGGTTGGAGGAGGGGAAGGATTGGGCCTCCGGTAACCTCACTGATACGGCTAAATACAACGTTGGGGTTGTTTCACGATAGTTTTTTGTAAGGCCGTCCGGTCGAGCCGTCTTAGTCGGGGCGTAGCATGGCTCACCCACACTTATTCATGAGTAGCATTGCGTGATACACGAGTCGTGAAACGTCGCGTAGCCAACTTTGAAAGTGGTCTAGTTCCTAGTCAAACATTTATGTAACTGAGGATCCTTCCTCCTTGAAATTTTCTCCTTCTCCATCATGTCATGGAGTCCATTAGGGAACTATCATCCTTACTCCTCAACCATCGTAGAAGACATTGGGCGTTGGGAATACTGTACCTAAGCGCAGGTTTGGGGACTAAATCGACACCCGAGCGTACTGAGCCGGAGACTACCGGAGCGCGGATCCACGCGAGACACAATGTGTTTTCTATTGTTTGTCATATACCGGCAGATTAATGGACCACTACAGTGACTATAGTCAATGCCCAGCTGGGGTTGCTGGTGCAAGCGGAATAATGTATCCCAGCACGGGTCCGGAGCAGATGGAGTGGTGGGGTTTTTTGTCAGTAAGAGTTTTACTCTCCCTCTCGCTCCATCCAGGACGAGAGAAGTACCTACCTAATTTGATCATTTTCCCCATTTAAAAAGGTTTGCCGTTAAACGTAATTAAATGTACATTTAATATGTGTTGTGTTTCGCCGTGTGAGTGAGGTTACCGGAGGCCCAATCCTTCCCCACCCCCAATCCCACCTCAATCCCTAAATCTCCAAATCCCTAATCTCTAAAAGGTCGGCAACGCACTCGTAACTCCTCCGTTGCGAGTTTCCATGGGCGGCGCTGATTACTTACCATTAGGTAATCCGTCAGCTCGTTTGCCGATATATTAACAAGCTGACGGATTAAAAAACACAGAGCTATTACAAAATTTAAAAAAATCATGAGACCTTGCCTTTGTACGTTCTGTTTACCTGTTCAACCGTTGAACAGTCATACTAACTATAAACATTGCAATAAGTAGGCAGTTTGATGGTTTGAACCACAACTATCAGTAAGTATGACAGTATCGTGAAAATTTTGATAAGAAACGCAAACATTACGTGACACGTAATTTTGTTTTAGCTTTGTCATTGATAGCTTCAAGTATATAAATGACATTAAATAATGATATTTACATTCGTAAATTCAGTTGTTATTCTCAATCCAACAGCTACACACGTGCTTACTTAGTACATGTATCAAAATGTCTGGTCTACCAAAAACCATGCGCGCTGTTGGACTCTACAAGTACCTGCCGATAGATCATGAAGAGAGTCTTCTCGACGTAGAAGTGAGTTTACCAAGTGTGACCAAAACAGATTTGCTGATTCAAGTCAAGGCGACCGCAGTTAATCCCATAGACGCCAAACAACGCGCTCCTAAACCGAAGGTAGAAAACCCACCGCGTATTTTGGGTTGGGATGGTGCAGGAGTCGTCGTCTCCAAGGGTGAGGAAGCCAATTTATTTAATATCGGCGACGAAGTATTTTTCACTGCAGATATATCAAGAAATGGTGCGAATGCGGAGTACATCGCCGTCGACCAATTTGTAGTGGCGAAAAAACCTCGAAACTGGACATTTGAACAAGCTGCCTCTATGCCCCTGGTAACACTCACAGCATTAGAGTCAATATTTGATCGCCTATTGATCTCAGAGAAGGACAAAGGAAAGTCAATTTTGATCATCAACAGTGCTGGAGGTATGGGATCAGTAGCCACGCAGATCGTTAAGAACCTCGGTCTCAAAGTTATAGGTACAGCATCGCGCCCAGACACTCAGGCGTTCACTCGCCAGTTTGGAGCGGACATAGTCCTCAACCACACCCAGGATCTGATACCACAATTAGAGGCAAATGGTTTTGGAGCAGGAGTAGACTTTATTCTTATTAACTTCGACCCCGCACCGTACTGGGATACAATGATGCGAGCAATCAAGCCTCAAGGCAAGATTTGTTTGATAGTCGACAGCAGCGCTCTCGTAGATCTGAGGCCATTGAAGGACAAGAGTGTAACTTTGGTGTCAGAAATGATGACCACGAGGATCAAGTATAAAACTGATGACAGGTTCAGGCAACATGAGCTATTGAAACAGGCAGCACAGTGGATGGAAGAAGGCAAGCTGAAATGCGTTCTGACGAAAACTCTGAGCCCAATAAATGCTGCTAATGTTAAAGCGGCTCATAAACTCTTAGAAAGCAAAACCTTGATAGGAAAACTAGTGTTGACTGGTTTTTAATTTACACTAGCTTTTGTTCGTGGCTTCGCTCTCGTCATTTGACTACCTGTACTATCCTAACTACCTTTACTACCTTACCTACACTATTTACCCTACGCTGCCTTCCTTAACCTAACCTACCTACCCAATCCTACCTACATTACCCTGTCCTATGCTCATCTTTTAGTTCTAAATAATAACCCCACTAATTCGCAACAAAATCGGTTCAGCCGTTCTTGATTTATAAATATTGTACCGAACACGACTTTCCTACGAAGCTACCTATATGAATTGGTAATTATGGCTGATAAGCTAAACTAATTTTTGTAATGTTGTGAATTGTACCTAATATCGTTTTTATCATAAACAGCTTTATTAGCTATAGTAATATAATATAATAGCATAAACTAAGTGAAATGTATACATATGTATAATATGTACGCACTTGTAAAAGCCTAAATGATTAATAAATGATGTGTGAACGGGGTTGCCGGTTCTTTATTTTTTGGTTGGGGAAAATTATCATATTATTTCTTTTCTGTCCCTGAGATAATTTCTACTGGCTGCAAGTTACAACAGGATTACTTGACTTATCGCGCATTCGATAAGACAGATGTATGTAAGCACAGAACAGAAAATTAAGTAGAAGTGCCCCTACACTCTTTCAAAAGGAAAACCAGTGTCGCCAAACTCACACATAAAAACAGTTATATAATTGGGTAAAAAGTTAAAACGCAACTTTAGCAAATCATCTTCTAAATGTTGTTAAAAATTGAGTCTTATAACAATGAGCGAAAGTTGTTATCATTTCACATGTCACAATCAATAAAGGCATAATTTCATATTTCGTGTTTCTTAGAGACAACCATGACAACGGAGCGAATGATTCTGACAGCGACGAATAAGCAAAAATGTTGTACATCTAACCATCATGATGACTAGCGCGCGAAGTCTGAGCGGCACTTCCACTGTATTTTCTATTCCGTGGATGTAACATAGAATGATAATTTCTCTTTTCAAAATTCCCACAACTAAGCTTTAAATAGAGTAATCAATGAGAACATATTTTTAGATATTAACAGACCAATTTTTTCGAATATTAATTTTAATTTTGAAAGACTTATTACTGACTTAATATTATTTAGAACTAGCGACCCGCCTCCGCTTTACACGAGTACAATGCTGATAATAAATTTCTCCACTATTTAATGGAACACCCAATTTACATATGAACCTTCCTCTTCAATAACTCTTATCTATTAAAAAAAAAAACATCGAATTCCGTTGCGCAATTTTCAAGATTTAAGCATAATAAGGATATAGGGCCAGAAAAAGCAACCCTGTTTCATACTATGTAGTGATTTAGCAACTTTCACAGTTTAAATAATTTAAACTAGGATCAAAGGATAAGGAAACTGTCTCCGTTCTCTAATACAATAATTACACAAAAATAAAAATTAAATAATTTAATAGCACATTACTGACCAAACGATCCTAATGTATGAGAGGAATTACTAAGCACGCTCGGATCAAATTCTTGACCCTTAAACGGAGATCCTGGGGCATTCCACGCTTTCTTCAAAACATCCATATTTCGAATTTCATCACTAGTCGGTAGACCTTTCATTTTCCTTTCTTGGTTCCATTGTAGTTCACGAACCTAGAAATAAAGTCAAAGTCCAAATCATTTATTCCAACTAAACCATTATTAGGTACTTTTGAAACATCAAAATATAATAATTCTGACAGTCTGTTCGTCAGTGAATCTCTGACCAGTTTATAGTAATCTGTGCCAGTGAAGCTAGGTGCTCGTTTCAAAGTGTAGGGTTCCATTCGAATAAAGAAGAACGAGCAAGAAACACCGTCGTTATTCTTTTTATTAATGTCATATTTATGTGAGAACAATGCAGATAATTTTTTTTAGAGAAAAAAAATTCTCTTTCAGAGAAAAAGTTGTAATTTTTTTTTGTTTTTAAGTATTTATTGAGTTTGCAATAAGTGATAATAGGCTGATAAGTGATAATGATATAGAAACTAAATCTTACTAGTTACAAATTCCATGGCGCTGAGAAAATCCTTTTTATAACTACAATATGGAAAATAATGAGACTAGTAGGAAGCAATTAAGGATGTCGCCTAGGAATATGAGACTTTTATAAAAACGTATTGGTGAGACAGAAAACTATGTTTTTTATCACCTAGCTTCATTAACAAAGAGACCAACAAACTAGATATTATTCTATTTTGATGTGTCAACATCAGATCCTACCTTAGCAACATGGTCTTCTGGCAAATCATCCAGGGGTCTGGAGCAGTCTATTTTATCCAGATCAATAGGTGTCTCATTATTCAGCAGTCTATTCCACCATCTCTCTTGGACTTTCTCTGGAAAATTGTAACAAAATACGTTAGTTAGTGCTTAAATGGTTACTGAAAGACTAGAACAAAAGGGTTTGTCTTTAAGAATAAACTTATACATGACATAATTATTCATTCTTCATTATTATTTTGATTATCCACAAAATATATATAGGTCTTTTTTTTGAAATTAGGTCAAAATCTATACAATCAATTCAGAATAAATAAAATGGGTCTTTAAAAAAAAATTTTTAGTATAGGTAATACTAGTTCAGTACTATAGTGAAAATATTTTTTTTTGAAAAGTTTGAGGAAGCTTTTTAAAAATCCTTATTTTTTTTAAATAATGCTTCACTCTTTTTTGGTTATATTTCACAACAGAGAAAGTTGGCGTAATTAACTAATATATAGAGGATATATAATTTTAAGTAAAAATTACTCCAGCAATTACATTCTTTTCAAATTCTTTTGAATAAAATGGAAGTATTTAAATGTCACATAAAACCGGCGTGGAGAAAATGTGGAAGACCCATGCTTCGGCACGAATGAGACGTTTCGACCGGATACCACGACCTCACAGAAAACCGGAGTGAAGCAACACTTGTGTTTCGCCATGTGAGTGAGGTTAACTGAATGTAATGAACCCTAAGTTAGCTAAATTCCTAACAAACCGCAAGAGGCTGGCAATGCACTTGTAACCCTTTTGTATTAGGCGGCGCCGATTGCTTACCATCAGGTAATCCATCTGTTCGTTAGCCATTCTATGCGAAACACAGCTTTGTGTTTTGCCGTATGAGTAGGGTGCAGGAGGTCCAATCCTTCCCATTCCCTAAAGCTCCATAACCATAACCCCCAAAAGATGGGCAATGCACTTGTAACTCCTACATATTAGCTGGTGTCCTTGGGCGCCATTAATTGCTTACAATCAGGTAGACTGACCGCTTGTTTGGTATACTATTGAAAGTCATATTACCCAGATGCATAAGCAGGTTTCCTCCGGTCATGCTCCAAAAGCTGTCCATGGCCTTTATCTTATATGGAAGGGTGTCCTTTATGATAACACCACCATTTCTAGAAGCGACACTAATATCTCCCGCATTGATAGTCACTTGCAGGTCCTTTGACGATTTTATATCAGGAGGTAACTTCACAATAACATCTGAAATTACAATTTTTATTTTGTTTGAAAAATAATAGGAACAATTTTGAAGTGCATCTTTGTTTTGTTTTCATAGTATAAGACTCAACTTTTGTATAATCACAATGTAAGACATACTAATATTACTAAATGTTACTCAAGTGATGTAAATGAGGAAAGCCATACACGCTGCTCATTAACATGTGATGTGTTTTTTGCTTCACATGAGCAAACCTTTATTTTGAATAAATTTTTATAAATATTGTGTAATCATAATGCTGCTTGATGTTTTCAATTGTATTATTTACTTTTAAATAATTTTATGAAATTCATCAAGAGCTCATGACAGTTAATTGACATAGATTGCTAGGCACAAGGAACTATAGACCTTGTCTACAATCTGTATCCCTCTATATTTATGGATTGTTGATCTAAAAGATAAGAATAATAGCATAAAGTAGTAGTATCTGCCACTTCTTACCTAATTCCATAATAGTCTGTGACCACAAGTAGTTCTCTTGTTCAGCACCATTGTAAGTGTCGCTGTTCTTCTGAACTGGTATGTCTGGTGGCTTGTAGCCTTCTGGGATAGCCTTAGAAGTACTAGATATAGGATCAGAAGACTTCTTTGTCTCATCAGCAGACTTTACAAGATTAACTTCAGACTTTTTAGAAGACTCTACAGGTTTTTCAGAAGTAGCTTTAGATTTTGGCTGAGTTTGTGGAGTGGCTTCATCTTCACTGTCATCCTCATTCTCTGCTACCACCTCCACTTCTTGGGCTACCGTTGAACACATGATCTCATTAGTAAGGTCCAACTGTTTCTGAGCACCATTTGTTCCTTTCCATGTTTTGGGGTCACATGTTCTAAGGACCTTGATCACCAGCTCCTCGGCAACACCAGGCGGGAAACCCATGTTTTCGTAAGCACCTTGGGGTACATAATAGAAATCGGTCCTGCAAAGGCATTTGATCTATAGTGAGAATTTATTTTGTATACCTTCATTTATGAAATTATACTAACGTTTTTGTTTATGACTCTTTTGATTGGGTTGTGATTTCGTTAAAAAACTTTAGTAAAGGGTTTTTTTTCACATATATTGCCAAATATTCAAACTTACACAACTAACGAACAAAAACAATAGAAAGAACTAACCTTCTCGCCAAAAAGCTGAATATTGCAGATAGGAAGCCTAATATAGATTTTTCGTTGACTAATATGGACGTCAACACATCGTCGTATTTCGTTACATCGTGAGTGTTAGGCATTTTCACTGTATTTACTTCATAAATGTATAATTTTCAATGTGTTATTTTCTTGTTGTTATTTTCTTTCGAAACAAATTATATGAATGAGAATGAATAAAGTTGACGTTTGACGACCGACGAATGAATGAACTATGAAGTTTTGTCCATATAGCGTAGCGACGTTCCATTTTACAATTAATGTACTTCCTTACTATAGCCCATAATATTGCAATAGTTAAGATTTTACCTAATAAAAATAAAAATCGATTGATAAATTAACTACGGCTTAAATGAACAATTTTTTACAAAATAAATGACATAGTTTAATATTTCCAAGAGATATTTTTTGACATTGGCATCCCAAAACCAGTTTTTTAATTTGCATTCTCGCCACTTGGCGGAGTTACTTCGCTTTCGAAAGTTTCACATCCGCAAGAGAGCGGCAAGGCAAGGCGAGGTGAAGTAGGCAAAGAAGTCTCGCGCGCGAACTCGGTACGCTGCAGGCGATGACCGCATTCATATGAGTTTTTATTATATTGTGTGTGTGCTGTCGTGTTCTCCGAACCGTTAAGTGTTTACGAAAATGCTGTATAGGTGAACTTTTAGGATACAAGTGTTGTGATTGTGATAATATTCCTTTAAACTTCTTCTATCTATTACTGTCTCTTGAAGGTTGTAAAAATGCCTTGCTCAGCGGTAACTTTGTCTATAGCGACCATTACAGCAATCGTGGCTGCTGCTTTAATGGCCATAGCCTTTTCGACAGATAACTGGCTTTATATTGAAGTTAAGCGGACACACATACAGGTAAAAAATTATTCATATTTAATTATATTTTTTACATTACCGACTTTTTGTTTACCTTCCTCTTAGGTAACTCTACAAAACCCAAATTAAAGACAAAAAATATTAAAAAAATTAACTACTTATTCTAGTCTTAGTACGTAGTCGTAGTGTAGTTAGAAATATAGAGGTCAGCTTGTTTTCAAAATAACTACCTACCCACATTTTATTTATCAGTTTATTCAACGAGTTAACAGTTTGGAAGCCTTCATAATCACTGAATGAGTGCCATCAACTTCAACCTCAAGTTACAAGGCCGCAGACAAAGTAATAACGAAACGATTAAGAAATTTGGAGAACAGCTGCTACTAACACCTTCCACCAAACAAACAATGTGATTAACATCTTAGATTTTTCTTCATTGCCGATTGTTAGCTACCTCTACGCAATGAATACTATCTTGATCAGCAATAAATCTTCTAACTTACAACATATCCTTTATTTCACGACGAATTTTGATTGTAACAGCGGAATGGGCTCAATAAATAAAATCAACGTATCACGTATTCTTTCGAGTCCTTACCGAGACACCGTTATAGTAGACACGTTACGCATAAATATGCACGTATTAATGGCACGAACAAATGTGTTGGTAACTGTACTATGCCGTGAGCCAACTCCTGTGCACCCAGACGTGGAGATAAAGAAGCTTCGACCGATAACGTTGCAAGGCAGAACACGTTTTTATTAATAAACATTTCGAGCTTCGCGACATTAAAGAATCGTCGATATTATGCACAAAAACCTCTGTAGTTAACATCTGAAAGCGCATAATTTGCAAAAACTGGAACATGTCACGGTTAATTTGCTTGTTAGGTATGTGCGCCTGGCTTTTTGTAACTATCAACCTGATGGTTTCTGGTTTCTTTTCTTAAGTCGGGGTCATGATTTTTTTGCAAGCCAAGCCAACTTGTATGTTCTGTCTTGTACCGTCTTCTACCTGCTCGAGGACGGCTTAATTTTTTGTTTGCTTTGTAATAGGGTTGGGTTTTATGCGTAGACAGGTTCCTACGTGACCAATCCTTGGATGAGTGTCTTGACTTTACCTCAAACCAATTCTTTTGTAAGGATAAAGGACTAGATGTGTCAAAGACTTCTCTGTAAAAAGTTGTTAAAATTGAAATTTATTTTGTATTTTTAAGACAAGTTTCAGAGGAGCTCTGAGATCATGATCAGTAATCCGTTATTTTAATTTTTTCAATACCTCACTAGTGTGTTCATTCATTGGAACAGTGTTTCCTCCTATTGTATTACCGTAAATAGCGATTTGTTTTATGTGAGAATAAAATTTGCTATATCTTTACCATTGATCGACCTTCGAAGCGTTAAGCCTTTTCAGAAAGTATATTGGCGTAAACATTACACTTATTATCATCATTATTGCGACGAATCATAGTTGTAAATAATTAGAACGAAACTGTTATAAGTGCTCAAATATTTCTGCAATTTTATTATTGATCTGTTTGTCTCAAACTTGTCTGCTTCTTCCGTAGTATAAAGTCATTTCTATACTATCTCATATGGGCGAATAAATTGCATTGAGAAACGTTAATCTCTCTTAGTTCTCATAGCATTCAATGAGGGCTTTCTTTAAATAAAGCCTAATTGTAGTTTAGGAGGCGTCTCAAAGACGTGTGGCGAATCAGCTACTATCTGCATATATTATCAAAGTCTATTAGATCTTGTAAAGACAAACAGTGGAAAGCATGAGAGAAATCGATCGTGAAAGTGACGAAATCTGTGTGAACATCTCTGAACATGCATACTTAGTTATCTGCTTAATGGTAACCGTAACTCGTAAGTTACGTAAATCATTTGTTTATGATGATTTTGCACTAAAGTGTAGTTAATTAATTAACTTAAATTGAATGTGTAATAATTAGAATTGTTAGTAAATTTAAGCGAACTGCTTAAAAATTTTCAATCTCTTTTGTTTAGTGATTTGGAATATATGGTGTGTTTTTTTAATGTTATGCCTATTTTAAATAATTATAAAAATAAAGAAATCGAAATACATTTTAAAATGAAATTAGCCCAAAATTCCGCTTGAATGAACGTCACATCATCACAAACTTTCATCGTGCATCCAAGTTGATTTTCTACGTTTGGTCTTTTTCGAGTTATGCAAAGGCCAAAGAAAGTGGTTTATGCAAATAAGTTAAATATTCTTTGAATGCGAGATGGTTTTATGTAATAACACGAATTACGAACGGACTTTCTAGTGTTTCTATGTAGAATTGGTAAGATATTAATTGTCATGGTAACTCACTAGTCTCAATACTAAACCAAATTATAAAAGAAATATATATTATGATAGAAAAAATCTAGGCTTTTATGATTCCAAGACTGTCTCTTGGGAACTTCATCGTCGTCTTAATTCAGACGTTCCTTGTTTCATATAGGACATCGCCAATGACATCCAAACCGAACGCTTGTAGGTACATATTTGTAGTGTAACTATTCAGAACGCGCAGATATTTTTGGCCATTTCTTTCCGCGTTCATGATAAAATACAACTTTCGTGCCCACATCTTTGCGTAATACTGAACAAATCTGTCTAAACCTTGCAACAGTGATCAATATTATCCTCTTTTCATTGACACCAAAAGTTCACAAGGTAAACAAAGAATTTCTATTTACGGAAAGAGCGGACCATCTGTGAATTAAGGGATGAAAACAGAACAGTTTGTTTATTGCCTTACCTGGTGGGGCACCGGATGTAATGTTTACTTTATCTAAATCTACATGAAAAAAAAAATGTTTAAAAAAGCCATAGATGATATTTAACCCCGGACCAGGTAGAGCAGTTTAATGCACTCTGTCAACAGCCCATCGTCATCTGGATTGCAAAAACGTTTTTAAATTTTCGTCGTCAAATGACACTCAATATCTCGTATAAACCTGATAACAGTTAACAACAAAATTGTCCTAAGCTAGTTTGTAATTATATTTTCGATATCACGATTTGAATAAAAACCACCTATGGATGTATCTCGAGTTTAAGACAATAGATTCGCCTTAAATTGCATGATTGATGAAGAAAATAAAGATATAAACATTGGACGTCTTATCCTACTTTTACTAAGGCCAATACCAAAGACTGTTCTTATTTTACCCGCCTACATCACACCACCAAAGATAAGTCAGTAGCACTTTAAATGGTCGTGGTTACTTTAACATGACAGGTGGTTTGTTTAACGCTTGGCGTCTGGTAAAACAGACACGATTAGTCGCTTAGTTTCTTGCCAGGCGACCGAGATCGTCTCGTTATTACATACTTTTATATGTTTCTAGCTTTTGCGCGCGACTCCGTTCGCGCGGAATAGTGACTTTAAACAGATTTTTTGTATAAAAACTATCCTATGTCCTTCGAGTTACAAACTATGTCTGTACCAAATTTCACAGAAATCGGTTCAGTAGTTTAGGCGTGAAGAAAAGACAGACAGACAGAGTAACTTTCGCATTTACAATATTAGTTTTGATTTTATTTATTTATTTATTAAAAGCTTCATGCACAAGATAATGTACACAAGGTGGACTTAATGCTTTGAGCATTCTCTACCAGTCTGACCTTTGGGCGATGCAGAGAAGAATTCCAATGGCAGATGCAAGAAGCAAGCATGGAATTTATGAAATTGTAAAAGGCTGAAGAATATATATACCACTATAATAAATATACACAAACATTTTTGATTTTATATTTTGATTTCTTCTAGCCAGTGAAACTATTGAAGTTTGTCCTAATTCGTTTGTTAAACAAACTTCGGTGACGAAAATTCCTAAATACGTGTTTCTACACGTCATTGACAATGGGTGATTATAGTGGCAACCCGCTTTCCTACACGACGACACCCACTTCTCACGACTTCCGACTACAATTCTTTTATACTATTCCGCTTTCTTGGTTTCATAGAAAAGCCAATTGAAAGTTCTGTTATGTTTGGTTACGTGCACTACGGCACCAACAGTTTAATATTGTACTTACAGAGTAAAATATACCTTACCTATATAAAAATAAAATAAAAAAGATTTATTGGCTAAAAACACATAAAATATAACATAAAAATAATTAGACATAAAAAAAATTTAAGTAAAAAAATCGGTAAAATCGGTTGTTACAAAAATTTTAGCCCTGTCTCTTAAACTAAAAAGAATCCTAAAATACTGTTATCTAATTTACACTCGTGTACTAAAATATTTTGACTTGGACCTAGGAAATTTATCGAAATTATTGGAAATTCATTATATAAAATGTATGTGATTGACGGAACTAACTTATAAGCTTATGAAAAAATTGCTACCTTCCAAGTTTTGAAATTAGCTCGTAAGATTGCACGTTTACGGATATTGCATGGTCAAGCGTGATTGCTGCTTCTAATGGAGGGTTTAATCACGGTAGAGGTAATTGTAGCTTAACCATACTCCATTACTAGATTTTTAACGACGGATAAAAGCAACAATAACTTAAGCATACATATCGTCAATCATAATATCAAATACTAAAAGCATTGGTTTCTAAACTTAATAGGTAAATGCTATTTACCGCAGTTTCTCTTAGGAAAATCCTCACATCCTCAGGAAACAACATTAATGCTGGCAGATCGTAAAGAATACTAATGAGTTTTCAAGGATTTTTTTTGAAATTTATAAATTGCATGACCAATTAAACCGTAATAATTTTGACAACAAGTGAACGCATGAGAACATTTAAAATAAATCGATTGACTTCGTTATGTAAAATAAAAATAATACATGTTGCAAACCAGAAGAGTTTAAAAATATTTGTTATACTTAATTAACCGGATTGACTTAAGTTACTCATTATGTCACTTGATTACTGGTGTATTACGTGCGACATGCAGTAAAGGGCCATGTGAACGTAATAAGGCTGAATAGAAACAACAGTGCCAGTTGAAAAAAAAATGCCGCGATTTATACATGCGGCCATATTGTGTGGCCTTCTT